GAGGAGCACCACTGGCGGCACCTGCGCGAGCCGCAGCGTGGGGCGCTGGAAGCGATGCTCAACGATGACGAGGGGAGCGACAGCGACGCGCAAAGGCCCTACGACAAGGCGTCATCGTCGTACCGTGTGCCCGCACAGCTGCGGCAGGAACGCGTCGCTGGCAACTACGAGAACGCCCCGCCTGTCGTTGGGCGTCCGTCGCGGCCACCGCACGGTGACGCCCACCGAGACGTACTGAGCCTGCTGGACAGCGTGTCGGGTGCCAGCGGCCGCGTTGATCACGGGCTCCTGTGAGAGAATATCGCAGAGGCACGGTACAGCAGCTGCGTGATTACAAACCGGACGCCTATGAGTCAGTGAGGCCGCACAATTGATGTGGACCATTTTGTCCCCCGTGTCTGACGGCTGCCGCTGTTTGTTCTGCGACGCCGACCGACGTGGGCGAGAACCGCCGCCTTGACGACTGGGGGGGCGTGGCGCGGCCAGGTGCTGCAGGAGAAGGCACATGGCTCAAAAGAACGTGTTGGGGTTTTGATTGTTTTTCTGTTTTTTGTCGCTGCGGTTGTGTTGCCGTCATTGTATTGTTGCACCTGGTGTTTTGTTTTGTTTTGTTTGTTCGCAGCAGATGGGGCTATATAGCACCGAGTTTGAGGCCCGTGTTGTAGAGCTTCACACAAGCCAAGGCATCATATCGGTGGAGCTGTACGACCGTGAGGCACCCGTGGTCGCGGAGTCGTTCGCGCGCCTCGCTGAGAGCGGCCAGCTGGACGGGGCGAGGTTTGCGAGGATGGTGCCCGGTTTTGTTTTGGAGTGTGCAGTGAGCGTGGCGCGGGCGTACGGCGAGGTCGTGGAGGTGGGGCCGGAGAACGGCTTGCGCCACACGGGGGCTGGCATCGTCAGCTGCCCCCGCTCTGCGGTGGGGGGCGTTGCCGGGGCGAGGTTCTTCGTGACGCTCGGGCCGCAGCCGGCGCTGGACAAGGCGTGCGTTGTTTTCGGCCGCGTGTACAGCGGGATGCGCACAATTGAGGAAATAAGCGGTTTTCGTTTTGCAAGCGACACCTTTCGCCTGTATTCCCCGGTGGAGGTGGTGCGCTGTGTGGTGCGCCTGCTGCCGAAGAAGCCTCGGCCATCACAGCCGGGTGCCGGCTCCGTGGCCAGCGAGTCGCACGTGCGACAACGCCGTGAGCGGCGCACGGGTGCGTTGGAGGAACTGGGGCGCTGACAACAGCAGGTGGAGGGCGGTGTGGTGTCGATGTGCGGCGTGTGTGTGTGGGGGGGCTCGTCGTGTGGGGCCCATGGGCTCCCTGTTGTACGCCTTTTGGTGGTTACTGCTGCTGTTGCTTTTTTCCGTCTTCGCCCCTTCCGCCCTTTAGAGTCGTGGTCTCCTCAACGCGAGGCTTTTTTTTCTGTTTGTGTGTGTGTGTGTGTCCTCCTTTGGGTCTTGCCGTTGCGGCCCCTCGCAGTTGCTCCTCGTTGGCTCTGCAGCTCACTTGTTGACGGCAAATGTCGGGGACGGTCTCGTGCGCGCCTGAGGCGTTTCTCTTCGGCATGCTCGGTGCCGCTGGGTCCCTGGCATTCGCCAACATCGGCGCTGCCTTCGGAACGGCGAAGGCCGGTGTGGCAGTGGCGCATCTCGGCATTGTGCAGCCCGGGCGCGTGATGCGGGGTATCGTGCCTGTGGTGATGGCGGGTATTTTGGGCATCTACGGCCTTATTGTCTCCGTAATAATCAGCAACAACATGAAGACGACCGGATACATGTTGTTCTCGGGCTACATGCACCTTGGCGCGGGCCTGGCAGCGGGCATCGCATCCCTTGCCGCCGGCTACGCCATCGGCATTGTCGGTGACATTTGCTGCTACGCGTACGCCAAGACGGAGAAGATATTTGTGCCGATGATTCTTATGCTCATCTTTGCCGAGGCCCTCGGCCTCTACGGCCTCATCATCGCCCTGCTGATGAACAACCGCGCCACGGCGGTCACTACGGCTTGTGTGTAGCCGTCGGTCGCTCAAGGGGGGTAGGCCTTATAGTTGGTACGCCGCAGGACCAAACCCGCACCCTGCGGGGCCACCCTGCGTACGTGTGTGTTGTGTGTGTGTGCCTGGGAGACGAGCGGTGTTATGTTGTTGGTGGCTTGTCATTGTCCTCCTTTTGTGCGTTATTCCGTGCTGTTGTGACTTCTTTTCTCTTTGTTATTCCGGTGATTGCCCTTTTTTTTTGTGTGTGTGCCTTCTCCGCGTAGCTCTCTGCACAAAAGAGGAGAGAGAAGTGGCGGTGAGGCACCTGCGGGGTCAGTGTCCGGTGAGCACGAGCACCTCAGCTGGTTTTTGGGTATCCCTGTCAGTATGCCTTGCGCGCCCACGGGCACGCCGCTGGCTCCCGCCGCGTCTGTCTCACATTTCGGCGCTTCTGACACGCGAGGGTGCATCGAGCCACAGTCGACCCGGTGGCTGCGCTGGCGGCCGACGGACGCGGCACGGCTTGCGCGCAGCGAGGGGCTGATGCTGGAGGGCCTGCGGTACCACCAGGAGTTTGTGGCGGGACTCAACACGATATCCAATGTAGAGTTCAGGAGGGGCGCCGCTGCTGGTGGCGGGGGGCGGGATGTCATGGTTCTGCTTCATGGCTTTGCTGGCGGGCTGGCGTGTTGGGCGCAGAATTGGGAATTCTTTTCAGCACACTACGAGTTGTACGCCATCGACCTGCCTGGGTTTGGGAGAAGTGAGCGGCCGTGTGTGAAGGTGGACTCGCTGGAGGGCTCGATGGGGTTTATCTGCGGCTACATGGAGCGCTGGTTCTGCGAGATGAGCTTCGGGCGTCCCGTCATTCTGCTGGGCCACTCCTTCGGTGGGTTCGTGGCGGCACATTACGCCATGCGCCACGGGCCGAGCCGTGTGAAGGTGTTGGCGCTTGCCGAACCGTGGGGCGTGAACGACGCCGACCCCGGGCGCATAGAGCGTGCACCCGTGCACTACCGGCTTGCGTTGAAAGTCTTCTACGCGGCCAAACCCTTGTCGCTGCTTCGCGCCGTGGGGCCTGCGGGGCCGACGTTTTTCAGACTTGTGCGTCCTGACTTTGCGAACCGGTGGCGGGGCTTCTTGGCGAACCCGCAGGTCTTTTACGACTACACGTACCACTGCAATGCGCAGCTCCCCCCGCTTGGGGAGACGCTTTTCAAGGCGTGCTGCCACGCCGACGTTGCCGCCAAGACGCCTCTTGCGGCGGTGCTGCCGAAGGGTTTGTCGCGGGCGATCCCGTTGGTGGTGGTGTACGGCAGCCACACGTGGCTCAATGCCGAGTGCGGTTTTACGATGGTGGACAAGATGGCTGCGGGCGGGCACCAGGCGAGGGCGGACACAGTCATGAACGCCGGGCATCAGGTCTTCACCGACAATGTCGATGCGTTTCATGAGAAGATGTTGCAGCTGATACGTGATGTGTTGCGTGCGGGAGAGCCTCCCAGCCACCATGATGCCCGCTGCAATGGCACTGCGTTGCCTCGCGTGAGTTGCGGTTTCGAGCAGAGGGGTCACGTGGGGGGTGCCGTGCAGGACGAAGGGGGCAACACGGCAAGCCACGGCGGGGCGTGACGTGGTGTGTGGGTGGGTCCGTGTGGCCGTGCCGCTTTCCGCCTCCACCATGCGTCCCTTCGTTTGTTTAGTTGCTTGCCTGCTTTTTCCCAGTGTGTGTGTGCGTGTGTGTGGTTTCTTCTTCGTTGTTGCTGCTTCTGCTGCCAACTGAAGGGAGATGTCCCCCGCTGCCAGCTCCATTTCTTCTTGTCTCTTGTGGTTTTGCTCGCCGCGCAGGGAAGCACCAGCGGCTGTGACGGGTGGGCCTTGCGGGGCGCACCATAATTTTGCGCTTTAGAGGGACTGAAGGGAGACGGCGGGGGGTGGGGGGGTGCGGTCGTTGTGCGGGGTCATGTGGGGGGAATTGTACGCCGGCGCGTGTGCGGACTCCGGCGTGGCGCCGCGAAAAGAAATCCTCGCGCTGGAGGGCGGCGCGGTGCATTTGTGCGGCAACACGTTTGACCGCCACAACCAACGCCTCACGGACGACGAGGTGGTGGCCCTCGCGGCGACGTGCGCGCGGCTGCCGCTGGTGGCGGAGCTGCACCTCGGCTACAACAAGGTGTCGTCGCGCGGGGCCGCGGCGCTCGCTGACGCCATGCAAGGCGGCTTCCGCAGTCTGCAGTGCCTGGACCTGTCGCACAACGCCGTCGATGCGGAGGGCGCCAACGTCATCGCCGCCGCCGCCGCCACGCACCCGAGTCTCAGCACGCTTCTGCTGCGCGGCAACCCCATTGGCGGCGGCGGCGGCCCGCTCATGGAGAAGCTGCTGCGGAGTGACGAGGGTGGCGGCAGCGGCGTCCTTGCTACGCTGGATTTGGAGAACACGGAGCAGGACATGAAGTCGCTTGTGCACATCGCGCGGGGGTTGGCGCGGAACTCGACGCTGACGACCCTCAATTTGGGGCGGCCGCTAATGAGCAATCCGGACGACGTCGCGTGCGTGGCGCGCCACCTCGCACTCGCACTGACGGGGAACACGACGCTGCGAAGTTTGGGACTGGGCCACTTCAACCTCACCGACGAGGACCTCAGCCTGCTCCTCTCGCCCCTCGGCAACTCGGCTGTCGTCTGCCTCTCGCTGAGAGGCAACAAACTCTCTCAGGAGTCCGGCGCGACGCTGGCGAAGCTGCTGACGCTGCGGCCGGACTTCGTCTCCCTGGACGTGACCGCCAACCGGCTGCGCGATGTGGGCGCCGCGTCACTTGCGGCGGCCGTCGCGCTGCACCCCGGCCTGCGTGCGCTGCACATTGCCAGCAACACCATTGGCGGGCGCGGCATCTCCGCCATTGCGAAGGCCGTGGAGACGAACACTTCCCTCGCGTCCCTGCGCCTCTGGGGAAATGACTTCTCCGACGCGTCGGTGGCCGAGTTGTACGCTCTCCGCGAGAAGATCGAGTCCCTACAGGAGAAGGACTTTAGCTTTTATGTTGTGGATGACCGCCCGATGCTGGCGCGTGAATGAGGCTGCGGTTGCTGCCACAGCTACAGTGTACATCGCACACTCGCTCTCGTACTGGCCGTAGCAGCGGCTGTGGGGGCTGTGTGTGTTTTGTGATGTTCTTGTTTCATCGCCTGTGCCTGTGGTTTGGCTTCTTTTGTTCTCTCCCTCTGTGCGTGTGTGCGTGTCTTTTCTTCTGCTTGAACTGCGTGTGGGTTGTCTGCGTCTTTCTCTTCTTTTCGTGGCGGCAACTCGGCATTTCTCTGCAGAAGCGACGTGGAGGTGATTCCCACTCACGCACGCCCTCTCTCTCTCTCTTGTGGTGTGTGCGGGTGATGTTTGTTCCCGACCAGAACCAGCTGTATGCGCTGTACATGTTCCGCTGCGGGGAGCTGCGGGTGGGGAAGCCGAATAGGGAGATGCTCGCACTGCTAGCGGAGGACGACAGGGCGTGTCTGTCCCGTCTGAAGGCCGAGGCGCGTGTGCGGGGCGTGTCTGTCGACGACCTGCGGGCGATCGAAGACGACACAGCGGAGTTGCGGCAGAGGCGGGAGGCGACGGTGCCGCTCGCCATGCGCCGCGTGTTGCGCCTCACCCCTGTCGTTGGTGCCGTGGACGCGCGGGTGCATGTGGGGGCGCGTGGGGCACTGGCGATTGTCGATGTGGCGCGCGAGCTGCCGTTTCTGGAGGTCCTCGACCTCTCCAACCTCACCTCGCTCTTCCTCGCCGATCCCTACCAGTGCGAGGGCGTCACGGGGAACGACGTCGTCGCGGCAGCGTGCCGCATGGCTGCCACGCACCCGTCGCTTCGCGTCGTTGATGTGACGGGGCAGCCCATCGGCACCGTCGCCGCCCACCACTTCCTGGAGCTCCTGCGGCGTAACCGACGCATTGAGGGGGTGCAGTTCGATCGAGACGCTGTCGACCATCGACTGGTGGCGGCCATTGATAGGGAGATGCAGCACAACGCCGCGGTGCCGCGTGCTCCTCCGGCGCTGCCCCGCACCCCGGCCGACAGCATCAAGCGACTTCCCATCCATGACAGGAAGACCGTGCAGGAGCAGCAGCTCCTCCGGCGGCTTGTAGAAACCGAGGTGGGTTTGGGCGACGTCATGTCTTCGGCCGAGATCAGTGAGGCGGTACTGTACGCCCGCACCATGTCGACAACGGAGGTCGTCACGCGTTCTAGAGGTCTGCGCGGGGATGGGGTGCATCTCTTCCTCCTGAAGTCCGGCGCGTTGCGCGCGAAGGCCGACCCGCGCGGGTTTGAGCTAAAGCGTGGCGACTACTTTGGGGAAACGTACGACGATGTGTTATTTGGTCAGGGTCTGTTGGAGGAGGCGGTGCGGGGGGTTGCGTACTGCGTGCCGCTCGAGCACTGTCGCCCCCTCTGCGAGGCCTGGGCGGCACGGGTGGAGGCGTATTACCCGCTGCTACGCAGCAGCGCGTTGCTGCAGGCTTTGGACGTTTGGACGCGGCTTCGGATGTGCTGCTGTGCCGCGCAGCGTGTTTTTCTCCGCGGTGAGGTGGCGATCTCGCCAGGCGACCCTTTCAAGGGCTTTTTTTTTGTGACGGCAGGCACCTTTGGGGTGCGTGGCCCCGCCGCACAAGCCACCAGGACGCAGGAATTTACGGTTGGCGACGTCTTTGGCGAAGAGGCGCTTGTGGCGCGTCGCCAGTGCAGTTCGGTGGCAATCGTCACGGGGGACGCGGCGGAGACGAGCTGCTGTCTGGTCGTCACGGGGTGCGCCGCGCGCGTGCTGCGAAGCCATTTGTTGCCCGTGCTGACCACACTCGCTGCCGCATACTCGCAGCACGAGGATCTGCTCCCCGTGCGGAAGTGAGTGCCACGCACCGTTGGCGTCGGTGGAGGCCGCGCGCATGTACAGTGCGAGTGAACTCTTTTTTGGGAGGCGAGGAAACGGGGGCGCCGCCCTTGACGATTGCCAGTGCCTTTGAAGGTGAAACGCGGTGATGTTATCCCTCTCTGTGTGTCTTTTTGTGCGTGTGCCTCGGTGCGGCCCCTCTGCCTGTTTCTCCCGCGCTGCTGTTGGGTGTGAGGCCCCCCTGACGTTTTGCGCCGCTTCAGCTGGAATCCCCCTTGCACCGTGGATGGGATCACGTGCATCAAAGAGCGTGGGCGATGAGGCTCGGTTTAACCGCGCGGCTGTTGACCGGATCTGCAAGGAGGCGTACGCCGCGGGGGCGGGCGGTGCCTCGGCGCAGTGGTGCATGGATGCGGCGGCGGGCGGGGCAGCTGTGCCGTAATGCTCCTTCTCTCCGGCTTGTACTTTGACGCAAGAATGGCACGGAGTGACACGGAAGCGTCGCGGCTGACTGAGGCGGAGCTGGCGCAGGTGATGCGGCGGCGGCAGGAGGGCAAAGAGCTGCGGACGCTGCTGGGGAACCTGATGAGAGACAACGCGCAGCTTCAGAGGGCTGCCGACCGCTCCGCAGCGATGACGCGGGGCCTGCCACGGCGCCAGGCAGGACCGCTGCGTAGCCTTACAGGTCTGCGGCAGCGCAGTGCCTCATTGGCAGGCGAGATGGAGGCCCTGAAGAACTTCCCCGCGCGGGTGGATCAACGCGTGAGTTTCATGCGCTGCGTGGGCGGTGTGGGGTTTGGCTGCCTTGCTGCTGGAGGTATCGCTGCCCTCACGCCGTCCCGCCGGGGGAGTGCCAGCTGCGGCGGCAGCACGAATGGCGGTGGTGGTGCCGGTGCATCGTTGCTGCAGCAGGAGCAGCAGCGATCACGCAGAGACACGGTGAGTGGGGGGAGGGAGGGGGGGTGACACAGTGCCTTGAGAGAAAGGAACGCTCACCCTTCCCTCCTCTTCCTTTCGCTCTCCATTGCTGTCTATAGCATGCATGTAGCTCTCTCTCGCTGTGTGTGTGTGTGGTTGGCTGGTCCCGCTTCCTTTGGTTGGCGTTGCCCGTCGCGTTTTTCTTTGATTTCCCAAACTGTCACTTCCGTCTCTTTTCCCCCTCTTCGTGTGTGTCACCTGGTATCTACGCTCAGGGAAGGGACGCGTGGATGATGTGCGCCGAAGTGGTGCTCCTGCATGACTCCTGCAGCGCGGTGCAAGTGTTTCTCGAGGTGCGCCGAAACGAAAAGAGCAGGGCCGTGCGGAAATCTATTGCTGGCTACGTTCTGCGGGCCCTCACAGCAGAGGCAACGTTTTCTATCAGGTACGGAACGCGTGGCCTTCCCTCCTTATTGCTTTTCCGCGTCGGTAAGGCGACAGGCATCGACGGCGCCTGCTACGTTGCCCTCCCCTCACGTGGTCGCTTCTTCATTGACTACTGTCTGGCGTGGGGCCGCCATGCGCACTACGGGCAGGCGCGGCAGTACGCGGCGCGGTGCAGAATGGCGATGCTGCAGACCGTGGGTGGTGGGTGGGCCTCGTTGCGCCGCGCAGACAAGGCCCTGATGTGCGCCATCATGTTGTACGAGACGGCAGCGCGCATCCACGACGCTGCCACACTACGGAAGTGCCGTGTGTTTGTTGGGTGGGCACATCTATGGAACGGCGATGTGCGGCGGGCTGTTGACATTTTTGAGCAGCAGCGGCGGGAGGCGCAGGTGGAGGGCGACGCAGTGCAGGAGCGTCGTTGCATCTCCGCCATCCACTACGCCTGCCACGGCCCGTCGGTTGTTGTCGCCGGTGGCGCGCGGGGTCACGGCGGGTTTCATCTCTCCGAGTGTTGGACCGAACTCTTCGCATGACGCTCGGGGTGGGCGAAAGGTGCATTTGTGTGCGTTTGTCTGTGTGGCGATGCATGGCTGCGGCGGGGGCGGGGGCGGCAAGTGGGGCGTGGGTGGGTGGGCCGACGCCGACGGCTGCGGCTGCTGCCGGGCGTGCGTTTGTGTGTGTGTGTGTGTGGGTTGCAACGTCTGTCGTCCTCCTCTCCCGCCTCCCTTCTTCCGCACCCCCCACGAGGGGGAGAAAAGAAAGCCATATGGCCAGCCGCAGTGTGACGCCCGAGCAGGAGCTGCGCATCGTTCAGACGATCCTGACGCTGCGCTCCCTCGGCGACACGGCGTCAAGTGAGCGACTCCGCCACAAAGTGCGCCGCTGCCTGCAGGAGTCCACAGACGACGACGCGGCCGTGGCGATGGCCGGCCAGCTGCTGCGCCGCTACACGAAAATAGTGAAGAAGCTCGACGGCTCGTACGAGCGGGAGCGGGAGCTGAAGAGGCGACGCAGTGAGATGGAGGCGCGGCGGGCGTCGCAGTTTGTCGACGACGAGGCAGAGA